AAAAGGTAATCAATAAAATGTAATGAAAAAGGGATCAATGAATAAAAGTAGTAAACTCATAATCAATAAAAAGGTAATCAATAAAATGTAATGAAAAAGGAAGGGACCAATGAATAAAAGTAATAAACTCCTAACAGTAAAAAGGTGATCAATAAAATGTAATTAAAAAGGGACCAATGAATAAAAGTAATAAACTCCTAACAGTAAAAAGGTGATCAATAAAATGTAATTAAAAAGGGACCAATGAATAAAAGTTATACAATAATGAGGGATTAATAAAGAAAGCAATAAATAAAATACAGATTTGATAGCAAAAATGAATATTTTTGTGAATTTATGAATTCGTGAATATATGTGAAGTTCGTTGTATGTGTATACTGTATATATGTACAATGACAAGAAAGTAAAGTATTTAATAAATTTAAATTTTAACACGTAAGTAACAAACTATTATTGGCAATATTATTAATTAATTAATGCTGTATTGCATTTAAAATGAATACTAATGACTAATATAATACGAGGACCCATATTGTTGGTGGCAAGATGGAAGGGGAGGAAGGAAGGAAGGAAGGAAGGAAGGAAGGAAGGAAGGAAGGAAGGAAGGAAGGAAGATAGAGAATGAGGCAGAGATAGAGGAAGATGGAGATAGGTGATAGAGATAGATAAATTGGTAGATAGATAGATAGATAGATAGATAGATAGATAGATAGATAGATAGATAGATAGATAGATAGATAGATAGATAGATAGATAGATAGATACTACCTGTAAATGTTCTAAAGAGAGGGGGAAGAAGGGAAGGGAAGGAAGGGAAAAAAGGAAAAAAGCAAGGAGGAAGCAAGGAAAGGAAGGAAAAGAGAAGAAGGGAGGGAGGAAAAGGGAAGGAGGAAGCAAGAGGAAAGATGGTAGGAAAAGGGAAGGAGGGAGGAGAGAGGTTGAGAAGAAGGAAAGGGAAGGAAGGAAAAAGGGAAGGAAAAAAAGGAAGGAAAAGAAAGGGAGGGGGAGAGGGAGAAGAAGGGAAGGAAGGAAAAGAAAAAAGGGAAGGTGGAAAGGAGGAAGAAAAGGAAGGAAAAGAAGGAGAAAAAGAGGAAGGCAGGCAGGAAAATGGGACGCATGGAGGGGATAAATGGAAAGAAGGAAGGAAGGGGAGGAAAAGGAAAAAATGAACAAAAATAGAAAAAAGAATGAAAAATTAAAGGAATCCATTTGAGTTAAAACCTACCCAGTAAAACCAAATATATATATATAAAAAAACCAATAAAGACACTACGCAAACTTAGCCACTTCAAGGCAGGCACCTAAAAGCTAAAACTTTTAAAACTTTAATCTGAATTAAAATGCAATTAAAAAAATATAATAAAGCATGGGGAAGTTGAAAAGCCTTCACCCGGCATCGAAAGGGGGATAATATTGGGGACCAGGTACAGCCTCTGTGGGGAGGAACGCCCATCCATGGGTCCTCGGCCCCAGAGAGCTGCTGTGCATAGCCGCTGGCTGTACTGGCCAATTGCCAAGCGCCTGAATTTTGGTCACATGATCTTGGGGATGCTACAATGGTTGTAAGTGTGGAAAACCATCATGTCACTTTTCAGTGCCGTTGTAAGTTTGAATGGTCACTAAGTGAACTGTTGTAAGTCAAGGACTACCTGTATAATAGCAGCAGGAGAATGTCAGCTAGTTGGCGGTTAGGGGTTGCTTCGCCAACACAACCCGCACGGTTATTCCATTCTTGTGCCATGTTTTAACTTAACGGGATTTGACACTCCCGTTTCTTTAAAGTGCGCGGCTGCGGCACCAGAGTTGGGGGAGAGGGAAATAACCACACATCTGTCCTGCTGTTTGTCTTGGGTTCAGGCTCAAGCCACCGACAACGGTTTCCCGGAAGGATGGAGGCGGGCCGGCAGGATGCCATGTCTGATGGGGAGGGAGCGAAAGGCGGCAAGCTGGCAGCAAAATTACCCCAGTCGCCCAGCAAGAAGAAAGTCAACAAGAAAAAGAAGAAGAAGAAAACCGTTCCAGGCCATGGTGAGTTTCGGTCGTTATAGCAGTCTTCCAATATTTGAGGGGGCTGCCCCAAAGAAGACGGGGCCCACCTATTCTCCAAAGCCCCTGAAGGCAGGACAAGAAGCAATGGATGGAAACTAATCAAGGAGAGAAGCAACTTGGAATTAAGGAGAAATATACTAACAGTGAGAAAAATTAACTAGTGGAACAACTTGCTTCCCAAAGTTGTGAATGCTCCAACACTGGAGGCTTTTAAGAAAAGATTGCATAGCCACCGGTATGAGATGGTATAGGGCTGTGATGGCGAACCTCTCGCATGCGTGTCACAAGTGGCACACAGAGCCCTCTCTTTAGGCGCGCAAGCCGTTTCCCCAGCACAGCTCCACTGCGTATGCGCACACCCCTCCTACCAGTCAGCTGGTTTTTGGGTCCCTGCTGCACATGCACAGAGGGCAGGGCACACGCAGGTGACATGTGCATATGCAGGAGATGTGTGAGCATGCACAGGGCGGGAAGGGGGAGGACACATGTGCATGCATGGGGGCGCACAGGTATGCACAGGGGTGGGGAGAGCACAGGGCTGTGCCCCCCCCTCCCCCCGGAGCCCATTTTTGGTGCCAGGAGACTGCAGGGATGCCTACTAGGCCCAAAACGGGACCCGAAGGAGGTCATACATGCATACACGGCAGGGGGAGCAGACGTGGGTCATGCACGCATGTGCAGGGGGGCCCCCAGGGGGTGTCGCATGCACATTTCATTATGGGTTTCAGCACGCGCAACAAAAAGGTTAGCCATCACTGGTATAGGTTTTCCTGCTTGAGCAGGGGGTTGGACTAGAAGACCTCCAAGGTCCCTTTCAACCCTATTCTGTTATTCTGAAGAAGCCATTAGCAATCCCGTTTTTTATCTCAGCCACCTCTAGGATTGCACAGAGTTGCATGGCGGGAAGAGGTAGGTCTTGACTTATGACCACAGTGGAGGCCAACATTTCCATTGCTAAGCAAGGCAATTTTGAAGTTAGTTTTGTTCCATTTTATGACCTTTCTTGCCAGAGGTGTTAAATAAATCCCTGCAGTTGTTAAGTGAGCAACGTGGTTGTTAAGTGAATCCGGCTTCCCTGTTGACTTTGTTTGTCAGAAGATCGCACCACCCTGGGACACTGCAACTGTCATAAATACAAGTCAGTTGCCAAGCGTCTGAATTTTGATCACGTAACTATGAATGTAGTGGTTGTGATTGTGTAAAACGGTCATAAGTCGTTTTTTTCAGCGCCATTGTAACTTCAAACAGTCACTAAACGAATGGCTGCAAGTAAAGAACTTCCAGTACTTCATTAATCCTGGACTGAGGGAAATTTGTCATGGAAGCTCACAGATCCATCCCTTTGGGATGAAACGAACGGTCCGGAGAGATTCCTATGAGCTCTGGAAACTGATGGTTGGCATAGGTGGTAAGGAAAATGGATGCCATAGAAATGCAGGTACTCCTCAATTTCAACCACAGCCATAATTGAACCCTCAACCACTCCTCAACCACCTAAACTTGAATTTAAAATTTATACTGCTAAGCAAAACAGTGTTTAAATTTAGTAGGTGGAACAAAGGGGTTAGGCAGTGAGCCGGAACACACGCAGTTGTGGTTGATAGATTGGAGAGTGTTGGCTCCTGCATGAGGCAATCTCCACTGTGATTGGTTGCTGTGGATTGTGAAGGGGGAGGTTCCCTTTTCCCCCACATTTTTTCTTCTGTGTGTCCTTTTGTGCTCTATGATTTACCTCAGGAATGCTCCTGCTGTGTTGATTTACCTCAGGATGCTCCTTCTGTGCTGCTCCTGCTGTGTGGCTTTACCTCAGGATGCTCCTGCTGTGTGGCTTTATCTCAGGATGCTCCCGCTGTGTTGATTTACCACAGGATGCTCCTGCTGTGTTGATTTACCTCAGGATGCTCCTGCTGTCTTGATTTACCTCAGGATACTCCTACTCTGTTGATTTACCTCAGGATTCTCCTGCTCTGTTGATTTACCTCAGGATGCACCTGTTTGCTTGATTATTTACATAAAACTACAAGTTCATGTCAGTGTCTCTGACTCCATTTCGATACCGATTGTGCAATTCCCTGATACAGTTATATATTATAAACGCATAACATTAAACTCTGAGCGAATAAAACAAAAAAAAGTAGCACAGTGATTTGCTTAACAGCCATGCCAAAAAAGGTAAAATTGGGAAAGTTTGACTTAACATCCACCTTACTTAGCAGTAAAAATTTTGGTCCCACTTGGGGTCTTAAGTCGAACACCCCCTGTCGTGTAAAAATTTTAAATTTCTCTGAATCATTTTTTATTTTCATTTTTTTTAAAAAACAGAGAAGCACTCCAGCCAAGTCAAGAAAAAATCCATCTTTGCCATATTTCCTCTGGATCTGCTGCAGCGCTGGAAGTGCGATGGGACCCCGCTGGAAGGTCACAGCAAGCGAGGACCAGGCAAAGCCACCAGGAACTCGCTCTCGGCCTGCTCATCGGCTACTTCGGTGTCGAGCCCAGGAGATGCCGTCCTGCCCAACGAGAGCCTTCGCTGGGACGGCATTCTGGATGACCCCAAAGCTGAAGAGGAGAGGCTGTGCAACTATCGGCTGAGCCGAAGAAAACGTTACGGCGAATTCTTGCAGCAAAACCCCCTGTTGGATTCGCCTTTTCCATGCCAGCAGCTACCCGATCTGGACAAAGTCCCGGAGGCGGAGAAAGAGCGTTCTTTACACAAGAGTAAATCCTCCTCTCTTATGGCCGCCAAAAACAAAAAGCGTCCAAATTCGAAACAGGGCAGCAAAACCCCAAAGAGGCAGCTGGCGGCATTACCGCCCAGTAAATCTCAGGGAATTCTGTGAAACGCCCCGGATTTGAGCACTTTTTTTTAACAGCCAAAGCGCGAGATCTGAGTTATTATTATTATATTTGCCTGTGGGTCTCACAATGATCCAGGTGTATTTTTCAGTTTTTTTTTGCAAATTCTATGTTGGAGAATAAAACACTGTTTGACAGTCGCACCTGCTCATGTTTGCATAAATTGTACGCGAGGGGAGGAAGAGGGAGCGTGTGAAATTCGCACAAAAGGGATATTCTTCGCAGGTGTCTTCTGGTTGGCAGGACCTGAACGAACAGATTTATTTGCGTTAATAGAGCAAAAGATAAGATCCAACGGCTTGGGTACATTCTTTTTTTTTTTTCCAAAAAATGCAAATACTTCTTGGAATGACTATACAGTAATCCTCGACTTACGACCACAACGGAGCCCAAAATTTCTGCTGCTAAGCAAGACAGTGGTGGCGTTTTGCCCCATTTGACGAGCTATCCTGCCACGGTGGTTAAGAGAATCGCCACAGTTAAATTAGTCACACGGTTGTTAAGTGAATCCGGCTTCCCCATCGACGTTGCTCGTCAGAAGGTCGCAAAAGCGGATTACATCACCTCAGGATGCTGCAACGGTCATAAATAGGAGTCGGTTGCCGACGTCTTGAGTTTTGATCACGTGAAACCGTTGATGCTGCAACGTGTGAAAAACGGTCATGCGTCGATTTTTTCAGTAGCGTGACTTTGAATGGTCACTAAAATGAACTGTCGTAACTCGAGGATTACCTGTAGCCCTGGGGAAAGAATAAACACATCTAAGGACAGGTTTCTCTCAAACTCTCTTTCTCCCTAATAGGAAATGTTCCCTACACAGTTAGTCCTCGACGTACGACCACAATTGAATCCAAAATTTCCATTGCTAAGCGAGACCGTTGTTAGGTCAGCTTTGCCCCATGTTAACGACTCTTCTTGCCGTTGTTGTTAAATGAATCACTGCAGTTATTAAGTTAGTTATGTGG